GATGTTCTGTTCTTTAACGGCAGTTTCAAACTTTTATTTATTAAACATGTCCTCCCCCCATGCAATATTTATTCACAACATGTCCTTGTTTGAGGTGATAATGAGATTAGGGAAATGAAAAATAAATGTTTAGTTTGTTGTTTCTCTCCAATACCTTTTCATGTTAAGCTCGTTTTGATTCCTTAAATTTAGTATATTTAAAATAAAGGTTTTGTTTGCTCCAAACACTCAAGTTAGTGAACGAGACTGTAATATAAATCCAATCAATGTTTGGTGAATTGCTCTAATTTTACTGTTCTCGAAAATGTGCAGATGGCTGATTTTTGTGGTTTCCATCTTATTTCAGAATGCTCTGGTCATTGTTAGGGTTCTTGCAGATCCTTAAAAAGTCTTAAGTCATTGATTTCATCAATCCAAAAATAAGGCCTTAATTAGCCTTAAAATGTCTTAAATCATTCAGAGGTCTTAAAAAATGTTAATTCGTTGTAAATAGGATGATTGTAATTCGTTTAAATATTAAAATAATTGGTAAAAATTAATTTTTTTAAATATTCACATGCAGACTTTGACATCACTTCCTGTTATTTCACATGCAAATATCTCAACTGTCCATCTGAGCAATGTGAAATTTGTTTTGTAATATGTTAATACTGTCTTCAACTCTGATAGTGACTCTAAATAATCTAAAAGAAACATCAGATTCCTCTCTAATTATTGTAACAACGCTCTGTTCACATGCAGACTTTGACATCACTTCCTGTTATTTCACATGCAAATATCTCAACTGTCCATCTGAGCAATGTGAAATTTGTTATGTAATATGTTAATAATGTCTTTCCAAAAATGCTTTCACTTTTCTTACAAAGAACTGATGTCAGGGGCACTTTAAGGTTTTATCTACAGCAAATTGGGGTTAAGATTGTGGATCCTAAAACTCCAAATTTTGGGTTGTTAGAAGATTTCCTGAAATTAAATTAAGTTTAAAACTGACTGCTAAGAATGTTTCTGCTATAGTTAGATATGGATAAAAACATTTGGTATATTAGCAATATTTAAATACTTCAACCAAAAATGCTTTTGATTCATGAGTTTCTGCCACTTTTTATTCTTATTTTTTTTGTCATTTGTGTTTATTATGAAATTGGTCTTAAATTAAATTTCACTTGGCATTAAAAAGTCTTAAATTTAACTTGCTTTAAACTGTAGGAACCCTGATTGTGCTTGGGTCATTGTGCTTGGATTGTTGCTTAAATTATGATGCAAATTAGTAAAAGAGGTTGACGCACCTTTCCTGAGGTCATATTTCCCTTTCTTTGGGGGGGAAAATTGTTTGAGCTTAACATTGACAGTGAACCTAGGAATTTCAGTGTCTGGCTTTGTTCATGCCTTATCAGCTTTTCTGGGTTCAGTCCCAGATTTAGGCTGGATCCCTTCGTTACTTTTAGATATTAGTTTTAAACCCACTTTGGTATTTTTGTGGAGCTTTGCCTTGGGTCTTTGTGTGAAATTGTTAACGCTGTCTCTACTCTGAACTCCTAAGCCGTATAGAAAAAAAAAGCTTCTGATAATGATAGTTTAATTTTTTTTAAGATCTGTCCTATTCTGCATCGACTGATGGTGCTAGTCATTTTCTTTTTTAAAATATTTAAAGCTGCTGTGCTTTTTATTACTTTTAAGTGTTGCAGTTCTTGTATATTTTGCCAAATCTCCGTCCTAATCAGAACCAGCCCAAGGTTGTATGGAGCCCTGAGCAGAATTTTATTTTGGGGTCTTGCTTCTGGCTAAGCCCATTGCTCACCATCAACAGCACCATTACTATCTTCTTTATATTGCTTGTGCATTATATGCTTAATGCAGCCATTATCAGGCTTTAAAGAGAAGTGATAAAATAAACTTGCAGACATATCACATAAATCGATTGCATAACTGACAGTGTTCCTTCCTTGGTTATAGTATGGTTTTACTTTTAGTTAATTAACAAATTCCTTAAATAAAGTGTTAAATTTATTTGCACATGCAGAGCTATGAAAAAAATGATGATTAGTTTAGATTTGTCCAAAAACCTTCCTTCTGTACCGAAAAGTTTTGTGAACAGATATATCAAAACACTGACTTAGTGGGCTTTATTTGACCACTTTAGCTGTAAAACATTTAGATTCTGAAATTTGTTTCTCAGTCTCTCGTGAAATAATCTGGATGATCATTTCAGCACTAAATGCCCACTGCTCACTTGTTTCTCTGCCTCACACACTCTAACCAAGCTTTATGAAGGAAATGATTAGAAAAACAGAAGGGAGAGCATCCACTCCCACATCTTCACAGTGTTTTTTTTTTCTTCTTCATCTCCCACATACTTGCAAACAACAGACAACAATGTCTTTTTTGTTTGCCGAGCCATTTGCTTAGATGTTGGATCACACTGCAGCATTTCCACATTAGCGCCCTGTCCTCCTCTTGTTTGCTCTGCCGCTACAGCACAAATGTACACAGTGGCAAGACTTGTCCCAAAGCGTTTATGCACAGCTAGGAGGGACCAAGCTTCACTGGGGTAAATAAGCAGCTAAATAAATAAAGAATAAGCCTCGCTCAAGGAATTTGTCTCATTGAAGATGAAAAGCATCTGCCTCTTTCTGGCATCTGCTGCGAAAGATATCCCTCCACCGCTAAGGGTTTGGAGCACGGCGACTAGCCAACTCTGTGAGCTTAACTCACTTTCTCTCCGCCGACATGATCAAGTGCAGCACTGGCGTACATTAAAATGAGTGTCATAACAAATTAGTCAGCCACTAAAATTGATGTGTATTACACTCACTTTGCTACGCTAACTTTGGGTATTAACTTGAAATAAAAACGGGGTCTAAACGTCTTTAATTCCTGCTGCAGAGCAGGGGCGTGATCCAGCTTTTTGGCACACTCAGCAACGTATTTGTGCTCTTTTTTTTCCTCCCCTTCCGTAGACTGTAACAGCTTAACACACCAGCAATAACTGCTTTCTCAATAAAAGTTAAAAAGGAAAGCCTTTTTTGTCTAGAGGGTGGGGGGGGGGGGGGGTTTTAAATTGCTTTAGTTGCTGCTGATTTCTCCAAAGTCTACGTGCAGGGCAGCGTGTATTACAGTTAGATACGATCACAGCTTAAACCTTCACTGACGAAAGGTGATGTTGATCGTGTAGTATTTGGAAATTCCTTAGATGCAAGGTGTGTTTGGAATCACAAATTGTTTTAGCAGACATGAAAGCCTGAAGGCACATTCCTGTACAGTGACAGGCAGCGATGAAGAGCTGGCTGTCATCACTACCTGTCTGCATCTTTGCCCACTGCCCAGGTGAGGCACCAGCCCAGACTCATTCACTGCATTCCTTCTCCCATTCTCTCTAAGTCATGCATGTGTTTTTCTTTCACCATGACTTGTTGAAATAGCCTAAAACAACTGTTGTAACAAAAAATGAAAAAGATTGACATGTTGCGTTGCTAAGATCCCAGCTTTATACAATGTTTTTGTTGGTCACGTTAAACAAAGGTAGTGGCCGTAGATGTGGCCATAGTGTGGCTGTAGCGTGCACTTTCCCTCTGTTTCAACCAATATAGAAAAGAACCACATGAGTAATGGGGCTGCTCAAGACCTCCAAGGGCTCAAGAATGTTTTTTTTTCTACCAGATACTGGAGGCATTGTGTTCCTGACACTCTAACTTATTTAGCTGAACTGAATAGACTAAAGCTGACTGGCCACCCAGCAAGCCTCAAGATATTCTGCATTGTCAACTCCTCTTTCTCCCTTTTTACAAAAACAGCAATGAGTATTGTTCATTGCCACACTAAACTTTGCAGTGAGCTCGACTGAAAGAGTTCATAAACATCCCTTTTTAAAAAAAAATACTCTACCAAAATCAGTGACTCTAGTGAGTTTGCTTCAAAACTTTTCTCATTTTAGGTCATTCAGTCTGATATTTTTTTTCGACACGGTGCTTTTAATTCCATTCACAGAGCGATATCTGTCCTTAACATGGTGTCCTTTTCTTTACAGCATTATAGTTAAACATCACAGATGGCCATTGGCAAGATGGCATTCATTAGAAGTACAGTTAGTTTGATTTAAAGGAGTACAATGTTACTTTGTTTTTAACATCATCAGACGTTGCTACTGGAGGCTGTAACAAACATAAGGTCATATCTTAATCAGTTGGCTGAGTTGTTTCCAGCAGTAAATCTAATTCATAGACAGACGCAGCATCAGTGCTTACGCTGTTTCATTTAAGGGACAGCCTTTGCCTTGTGTCTGCTTTAATAAAGCAATGCGTTCTATCAGATGGTTGGAATAATTATGGTTGGTCTGCGGTCCGCCTGTTTTTGCCTTGTTGACCAAACGAGAACCCTCCCGGTGCGCCCCCCTTCTCCTTTAGCGTGTTGGATGTTATAGGTTTATTAAAGCGGCCATGTTGTAATTCTATGAGATCATGGCAATTTGTGTGATTTGAAACCATCTGGATGGCACAGTTTCAATTTCCTAATGGGAAACATTAAGTGGGCTGTGGTCCTTTGGGACTTTTGTTTAGGAGGTCCTCTGGGTTCTTAACGGATCCCACTGAGAGAGGCCGGCTGAGTCGCTTCATTCTGCATCCTGACCTCCCTTTAGTTCTTCCTTTGTTCCCTTCTGGGGATCTACACAGCATTTCTGCTTTACTTCTTTTGCTGATGTAATCTGAATGTTACATTCACTTCACTTTTCCTGTTGTCTGCTCCAAGCAGGATTTGTTTTGGGTGTTAGATGCCTTGTTGATTGCGAACAAAGATATCTAATGTTGTGTTCTGCTGCTGTTGTTGCTGTTTTTTTATGTACAAGTATACTTAAAATCGGTCTCGTTTGGTTCTGCTTTGCGACTTGCTTTTGATATTACTGCCTAACTGTGTTTTGCTGCTCATTCAAATGTATGCAAATATAAAGTGAGTTTGAATACTAATGTTTGTGTACCCCTGGTTTTTTTTTTTTTTTGCTCTCCCAGGTGTTAGTCTTTGATCCTGTCAGAGTGGGACACGTCTAGCAGGGGACTGAGGAGGGAGCAGTGCCAACTCGGAACATGGTGCCTAACATTCTCCTGGCAGGGCCCCTCCTGCCCAGGGGGGCGTTGCTGTTCCTGCTTCTACTCAGCTCAGTGGTGATCTCCTCTCTGGCAGACAGTAAGTAACCCTGTTCACCTGTGCTGTTGCGCAATAGTTCACTTTACATTGCAAACGCACGTTACTGTGGATTTTAGCATTACGTCAGTGATCAGCTAAATAATCACGTTTAAGGAGGTTCTCTTTATTTAAAAATCTGTTTTATTTTAGAATAAATTAAAGTATTTCATTTGCATATTAACTTAATACAAATCAGTTTACCACTTCATTTAAACTGGAAAATAGATTTTGTTTTGCATCTTTATTAGATTGCAACTAAAAGACATCTGTGTCAAACGCTTGTCGCCTCGGACTTTAGTGTCTGAGCTAAAAATAAGCATCCAATGTCGATCCGACAGCCTCTGTGCTTCGTTGTCTTTGTGAATGACACTTTCCGCTGCAAAAAGACATTCTGAAAGATGTGTCCCTGTAGCTGGACCTTAGGGTCTCAGGGGCTGCCAAGAGGCACTCCCCCATCAAAGCGGAGGTCAGGAACAGAATTAATTCAACACATGACCTCACCTATAGTGCTGTCATTGGGTCACTGTAATTCAATTATGCCCTGAGCCCCCCATACCAATCCGACCACAGCAAGAGCTCTGACTTTTCAGACATGCATCAAAGAGGATTTGTTTTTTCTCTACCCTTTGCCTTTTGTCTCTAAGGCGTGTGTTCTTATAGTGTGTTGTCTTTTGTACAGTATCACTGAGAACTTGACCTTGCGGAAAGGTTTTGCTGTCCTGTCTTTTTTTTTTTTCTTTGTGGTGTGACCAGACTGCCTTGGCTCTGCTTGTGATTTGATCAGAAGAAGAAAAAAAATCAAAGATTGGCTGAAGCTGTCATTAAAGATAATAGTTACACAAAAAGGGCAGCACCTCTAAACAGATTTTTCACACAAAACTTGTTTTTTGCTATCCGACCAAAGCTGCTAATAAAAAAAAACTTAAAATCATAAATTTGACCTCCAAATTGAACGTAAGTCGAAAACGGATGGTTTGAAAACAAACGATGTTCGTTTTAACCAAGCAATGGCAGAGTTGATCTTTACTCTCATGTTGCATTCCTGTTTATTTTCTTGCACAAGTTTTATAGAAACTAAAAAAAATAAAAATTCCGGGGTATGCAGTTTTTGAAACTGTAAAGAAAGTGCTCACGTCATGATCACTGAAGGTGCAAAGATATTCAAACGTTTAATCTGTCAGATGTTGAGTGGAGCTCAGAGTTGGTTATTAAAATGTACTGCTTTTTGTGCCGTCTTTAATCTACACTGTGCAGATAGCTACACGCAAAAGTGAATAATAAGCAAAAATGTTGGACGACGAGTCATTTGAATTCCTTGATTGTTTTGTTATTTATATGTTTTTCGACAATTTAGCTGTCTGACGTGCAGTTTCTGTCCTGCCTAGCAGCCCAGAGGTTTCTAAAGATGCACTTCCATCCTGCTGCTGTTATTGCTCTTGGCTTTCTGCCTCTATGAGAGTCGGCTCTGGTCTCTTATTTCACTGATCGTATCGTGTACGGATTAAGACGCTACGTCAAGCATTTTAATTAACTGACTGCTCTGATGCCACAAGTCACAACAAGATGGTCTAATTGAAACTACACCCAGACTCTTACACGTAAATAAGAGCGCGGGAGAAAATGAGAAGAAAGTTCAGACATAATGATTCATTCTAAGAAAAAAAAAACTGTTCGTGCTATGGGGTTTATCTGTGTGTAATGTAAGCGCACACAGAAAGAAAGCTGCTATTATCCACCCTGTAAAGCCCAAAAAAGGCATAGAATTAAAAAAAAAGACAGCTGGGGGGGTCAAAAATAACACCTACCACTAATGGCAGGGTTGTGTGTGTTTGGTGCCTTTAATTTGTACGCAGCTTAGTTGTGTGAGCTTGATATTTCTGGTTTGGATCTGCTGTATTACAGGGCAGACACCAGACAAATATTATGGCCAGGGTGCCTGGCAAGTTGCTGATTATATGGCCTCACTTTGGTGAACACCCCCCCCCCCACACACACACACACACACACACACATTCATAAAGTTAAGCAGGCAAAGAAACCGCAGGTAGAAAACATGCATTTATGTGAGAACTCTGTGTTGTGTTTGCCAGCACTGCTGCGTTTCTACGTTTTCTTGTCATACTCTTTGTTCGATTCGATGCTCAAAAGGGTGTCTTTTATCATGTAGCAGGACAAATAACTACAAGACGCCGTCCATGGAAACTATCAACGTTACGGCTTTGTGAGATCATTCATCTTATAGCGTCACTGAGTAGACAAACAGTACGATGTGATTAGGCTGAGTGCTGATCACAGACGTCGCATTGATCCCCAGGGAGCCCGGCTTAATCAAGCGGGCCTCCGCACGGCTTTCTCAAACACAATAGGCCCCCTCGGCTCGCAAGGTCAACCCCAAAGTCACACATAGGCAGCACTTAAACGTAATGGTTATCTTTCTCTGGAGCTGTCACTCTGAGTTATTTCATTGGCTTTAATAAGCTTTTGATGTATGTGTCTCATCTTGTTCGTCTCGTGTTGTAGTGTAAGGTGGTTTCCTGTGAGGTGCTGCGAGACCACCAAGGCCTTCTCTGGGTCTGATCAGACCTCAGGAGGAACAAGCAGGCGCCGTGTTTAACTCAACAAGTTTAAAGCACCTTTATTTTTTACATCAAATCACTGCAGTAGATTTGTATTGTCCTATTTGTGATCTTTGTACCACAGCAGAGAATCTGCAGTATTTTATTTCTTTAGACTGTTTTGTTTGCCACTGTGTTTTTTATTACGCAGTGACAAGACCAATAACAAATGTCTTCTGTGGTCTACTAATTATAAATGTAAATACTCCTAATTTTCTTATGGAAAAACATGTTTCATTAGGAAAAACTAGATCCTTTCAAAGCTTTTAAATCTACATAACCTTCTTTGTGCTGCTTGTACCTTTGAGTTAACCTCTGTGGACTGATTTAGAAGTTTTTTTAAGCTCCAACAATAGAATGATGCACTGGAAATGCCAAAGTGGTTTAGGAGATGGGTGACCAGATGTGGGGGCTGGTGGGGTCCTGGAAATTGGATTATATTTTTAAGTGTCCATATGGTCACCCAGTTCAAACACTGTCACGGACAAAGAATTGATTCTTTTTTAATTAAAAGTAACCATATCCACCTTTGAGAGGCTCTCAGAGAGTAATGCATTTAGCACACAGCTGTGGTCCACAAACATCATACATTCAGTCTCGCTGAAAGCACAAATAAGGTAGAGGAAGATGTAAACAACAGAAAATGTCCTCTGAGAGGAAGCAGTGCAAAAGTAATACTGTATAATGTGGAAACGGCGTCAGAAAAAATGAAGTGCGCCGCGATTTGAGGCTGAGGAGATTTGATGGGAAGTTGTTTTCATAAGCCACTGCAGCAGTGTCAGAATTCAGGGAGGAAAGTGTCATCGGAGGTTAATGGTGTGAGATTAATAGTTTAATTAGTGAGCTCAATTGCGGGGCTGGAGGCAGTCACCCAAACTCTCTGCTGTGTCCTGGCCTCAGCAGAGGCACAGGATGACGGGAACCATCAGTGTCGTTCCAGAAAAAGGGCAGATGAAGAGAGACGTTTCAATTCTGCGTTCATAATCATTTCTTTACTGACAGAGGTAGCTCCACTTCCTTTGCTGTCACTTTTTACTTTTAGACACACACACTTAATGTTAGTCTGTTCTGAGTTTCAGGAATTCATGAATCCAGATTTAATTTGTCAGCTATTTTGATGCCTCCCTATTATTGATAAAATAATGCTTTAACTGGACTTGCACTGTATATTTGTTTAAATTCTATAGTGCATTTAAAGTGCCTGTGACATCAAATTTTGTAATACATTTGAATGCATTTTTAGAAAGAGGACATTGATAAAATATTGCAAAAGAAATTCCATGTCGCTGAGATGAACAGTTGTTGAGATATTTGCCTGTGAAGTAACAGGAAGTCATGTCAAAGGGAAATGTCTGCATGTGAACAGAGCGTTGCTACAACAGCCAACAACCCAGACTGTAGAGAAGAATCTGATGTTTCTTGAGATTATTTTGAGTCACTATCAGAGATCAAGAGTCAGAGTTTAAATAAGATTGTTTCAATAAACAAAGACCAGAGTTTTCTTTGTTAAAGAGTTCCCCTTTGATATCACTTCCTGTTTCACTTTGTCTGAGCCAAGTTCAAAAGACAGTATGCCAGTTATGGGACAAAATGGGTAAAATTGTGTGTATTATCCCAACTTACTTAAATATAAAGCGGCTTTCTTTGACTTTTTGTATTTGAAGAATATGCATGTCACAGGCATTTTAACATCAGCTAACGTGGATCAGAAGGTTCTTTTTAAGGAATGAGCAAATCATTAATGGTCAAATTTGCTTTGCAAAGATCGAAAATCACAAAGAAGCAAACAAAAAGCAAATTTTTGAGCCAGAATCTCTGTTGTACAATATTCTTTCAGTCATTACATAATTTAATTTTGGTAAGTGGGGAATTGAATTACTTAAGACCTCTGGGCTTTGTGGGTTAGACGATGGGAACAATGGTAGGTGCTCTTTAGGATCTCTGAAGGAAGGCTAATTAAAAGGAGGTATATTAATAAGATTGGTGGGGTTTACAGGACAGTGTGGTGATGAATGATGGGCTAGCCCCAAAATGGGATTTCTGGAAAAGCTTGTAGACGTTATCGACATCTGAGCCCTCAGTCCGGAGCATCATGGGATTACTTAACACACTTAACCTTTTCCCTCTTTGTCTATAAATGTCAGCGTCCTGGCCGAGGCATCCCACCAGGTGCCTAAAACTCTTCCAGTCGTGGTTGAGATTTTAGTGGCAGAAACCCTACGCCTCATTATATATTCAAGCTGCATTTGAAATGTTCTTTTCCCTTTTTGTGTTGTGTTTTGCAAGCGAGTGTCCCCAGGTTGACACCCACGCATGCCTTCAAACAGTCAGACATCCTTCGTAGTGTCAAAATGGAAAAAACAGTCAGTTTCATGACAGCACAAA